TCCATACTAGGCCCAGAGGATGTGGGATCCACCTGCAGACACTCTTCAAACCTCCAGCTCTATCACAGAAACCTTACCAAACCCACCCAGATGGGTGCAGAGGGCCATGCAACTTCCTCAGACGCATGCCTCACTTCCTGTAGCCCCAGGTGGGGTGGATTGCCAACTCTGATGTTAACTGGGGTAGATCCCAAACTCAGGGGAACTAGGTAGAAGCCCCCACAATAAGCTGAAGGAAAATAAAAATGTCAGGGAAAAAAAAAATGTCAGGGAAACCTACCACTGCCAATGATTCACAGGTCCTTCCCCTCTTTTGGAGAACATGAGGCAAGGGTCCATCCAGGGTACTGGCCTTGTGGGAATGAGCACCTGGCGGGAGCACTCAGCTGAGCCTGCTGGCAAGGACAGTGCTCAGCAGCCCCACCTGCCATGTGATGCTGGTGGAAGGGCACCTTTAGAAATACCCAGCTCATAGGAGAGAAAACACCCAGGTAGAGAGTTAACAGTCTCAATAACATCTGATAACTTTACAAAGGTCTTTCACATACACTATCTCATTTGAGTCTCAGAAAACCCCCAGAAGAGAGCATTATCTAATCCATTCTTCAGTTGGAGCTGGGCATAGAGGAACTTGATTCTGTAGCATGTCAACCCCATGCCAGCTACATGGACCAGGATGCTATGTTAATAAACGTATGTAGCAATTTGTTTTCTGCTGTTGTTGGGGCCAGTGCCTGGAGCAGACATCACTTACAAAATGATAAAAATTACACTCTCCACCCCCAGAAAGAGCAGCCAGATTCTGTGAAAAGGGGCTTTAAGCAGGAGTTACCTGTATTTTTATGGCTGGGGAAAGGTAAGGGGTGTGGCAAAGTAGATGTGGGCCTTTGTTTCAAAGGCTAAAGCTGGGAGACAGGATAGAGAGGGATTGTGGGACATGCAGCTTTTGGAGTAGAATCCTTGGGCTGGGTTTCAAGACGCTTGAGATGGCTTAGACAGTGGGCCCTGGAGTGGCCAGCATCCCTCACTCCGCTGGAATGTAGTGTCTTGGTGGTATCCACACCCCAGAGATGAAGCCCTGTGGACCCCAACATCCCCTATGTCAGAGCTGACACAGCGCACAAGCTGCCTACAGGGCCTGCTCCTCCAGATGACCAGGCAGGTCTGGTTAAGGAGGCGTCACAGGCAGCCACCACCACCATGGGCCAAGGGCCTGGCCTTCCCTTCCCCATTTGTCCAGACCTGCAAAGTCCCACTGTTCTCACATAACAGAGGGTAGAGACAGAACTATAGAAAACTTTTCTGCAAGGAAACTTTGGCCAAATTTAGCCAATAGAGGAATTCAAATCAGTTTTCATTTGATTTAAGAAAATAAAAGGGATTATTTCTTGACATCAAATGTCACTAATTATCATTATTTTATCTAGTGCTCAAAGGTACTCAGCAAGATAGAAATTATTAGTGCTACTTTCAACCAAGCTTCTGAAGTTCAGAGAGTTCTAGGAATTGCCTGAGATCAGCCCCAGAAGCAGCAAGTGGTGGGTCTCCCCAAGCTCAGGTGGGGAGACCCATGGTCAGGGCTGGTACCAGAGAATTTAAGTCACCATCTAGAACAAATGATTCAAGACATCTCTGACAATTCAAGCCAATTTCCCTGGGAATTCATTACAGATGTGCCATGAGAAGACATAACAGTAAATCCCGTTGCTTAGCTCAAGATACACCTGGCCTCTAGGCACCCCTTCAGCAAGACAGTCCAGATTCTAGACCCAAGGTGTCCAGTACAGTAGCCACAAGCCACATGCGGCTATAGGGCACTTGAAATGTGACTAGTCCAAACTGAGATGTACTGTAAGCATCAAATACACTCTGGACTTCAAAGATTTTATATGAAAAGAAGAATGTAAAAAGATCTCATTAATATTTGTACATTGATTGTATGTTGAAATGATAATCCTTTGGACATGCAGAGTTAAATGAAACATGCTATTATAATTAATTTCACTTGCTTATGTTTACATTTTTCAATGTGCTCTTAGAAAATTAGAAGTCCTGTGTGTGGCTCCCATCTGGGCTCCTGCTCAGTGTCTCCTGGGCAGCCCTACTCCAGTCCCAGGCCCTGCCTCAGTTTCTGTACCCACCTCATCCTACCCCACTCCCAAGAACAGCACCCAAAGTGAAGAGGCAAGGCTTCCCAAACCTTCCAATAGTGTCCTCCCTGAGGAACTTTTCTGCGAATTCCTGGACCCACCTCTCCCACCCTTCAGCCTACTCAGTGCCCATAGAGCACCCCTGGGCCCAGCAACTACTGAAGTAACTCCCAAGTACAGGCACCACTTCTGAGCGTTTGGATCCACCTTGAACCACATTTTCCATGGCCAAAGGAATTCTGATAATGAGGTTTGCAAAGTCCAGGCCTCAAACCAGATCAGCAAATGGAAGCCCCAGGACCTAGGGTGTGTTTCTCCCAACCTTCCTTGCTCCCACCCCTGCCAGAGTATGAGCTCCTCCAAGAGTAGAATAATAGAAGTAAACTCAATGTACTGATCACTTACTATGGGGCTAATTGCTGAGCTAAGTGTTTTTGCATGTTTTATTTTATTTAATTCTTCCAACCAGCCTGTAAGTGAGAAAGTATGGTCCTGTTTTAAAGCCAGAAGCCCATTCTCCCATGGTTTGGGATCTGTCTCTTCTCCATGCTTCTTCCTCTGCCTCCCACTCCCTCCCCTGGGGCAGATGCGCCTCATGCATCCCTCCTAGCACAGGGCCCAGCGCACAACAGGTATTTAGTAAATGTTGGTAACATTCGTTAAGAACTTTCTGACAGACCTGATCCTTTGTTCTTTCTTGTCCTAATCAGGAAATACGTTGCCCCTTACTTTCCTGAGGCCACATACATGATGAAAGTCCTCACGCACCTACCTATAGGGTTAGACCTTCTCTGCCTCTACCTGCCCCCATTACCTCCCAGACCACCTTCCCCACTGAGAAATGGGGTCTGCAAATAGCCTAGGGCCAGTACACTGGCATCTGTGATGGCCAGGGGCATAGCCACAGGCACCTACAGAGCTGCCAGCTTCCTAGAAAAGCCCCTCCAGGCATAACCAGTACCCTGACTATCTTTGCTGGAGTCCCTGGAACTCTACCCCACTGCCATTTCCTGGGTCCACCTAGTACTGGCAGGTGATTCATTTCTTAGAGTTGGGCTCAGCTTTCTAAATGCCTTCATTGCCTTAGTCTTTCTGCCCGATTTAGAATAAGGCCACCCAGAAGTCTTAATGCTCTGCCCCTCCCAGCCCCTTGGCTCGGCCTTGTGGACCCTGACACTGGCCTGCACTGGAATGGAATTTGCCACACCCCTCAGGGCTCCTGCCCCAGACCATTGGCCTTTCTCCCCCTGCCCTGGTCAGTTTCCCAAGGCTCCAAGCTGTTTTTGCTTCTGTCCCAGCCTGTCTTTTCCCCCATGGAGGAAGTCGCCAGAGTGGTACCCTTCACACAATGAAGACCAGACGACCCAGGGGACAGGTCCTCCCTCAGATCAGAGCTCACCATTGGGATCCCCAGTCCCACTGACCCCCTGCCCTTCTAACCTCAGGGCCCCACCTTATAGGCTCTGGGGACTTGCTCAGTGCTCCCTGCCTTGCCCAGTTTCCTCAGATCAGCTGCTAGACCCAGCATGTCTACCCGTCCTCTCCTGTGCTCTGCAGAACTCCACGCATGACCTCCCCCAGCCACCCTTGATCATCTGCTACTTGCTCTGACACCCTTGGAGGGATGGAGGGAGCCACAAAGTCCCATCTTCCTTTTTCACAAGAAATACCAGTCCATCACCTCACCCTAGCATTGGAGAAATTTGAACCAATCTAGAAGGCTTCCCAAGCAGCAAGGTCCCCAGGTCTTCCCCTCCCATGTCACCTGTATGATGGATACAGGAAGGTACTCCTGCACCCCTGCTGCCTGTTTGCCCACTGGGTTCAACTCCTTGCTTTCCAAGATTACTGATGGGGAATAATGACTTCTTGATTTGTTACCCTGAGTTCTTCAAACAAAGGGGCTACATCCATAAAGGCATCAGGCCTTCCCATAAGGCATAGGAAGTGAACCCACCTGATGCTAAATCTTCCAAGCCTGTCTTTTCCCCCATGGAGGAAGTCGCCAGAGTGGTACCCTTCACACAATGAAGACCAGACGACCCAGGGGACAGGTCCTCCCTCAGATCAGAGCTCACCATTGGGATCCCCAGTCCCACTGACCCCCTGCCCTTCTAACCTCAGGGCCCCACCTTATAGGCTCTGGGGACTTGCTCAGTGCTCCCTGCCTTGCCCAGTTTCCTCAGATCAGCTGCTAGACCCAGCATGTCTACCCGTCCTCTCCTGTGCTCTGCAGAACTCCACGCATGACCTCCCCCAGCCACCCTTGATCATCTGCTACTTGCTCTGACACCCTTGGAGGGATGGAGGGAGCCACAAAGTCCCATCTTCCTTTTTCACAAGAAATACCAGTCCATCACCTCACCCTAGCATTGGAGAAATTTGAACCAATCTAGAAGGCTTCCCAAGCAGCAAGGTCCCCAGGTCTTCCCCTCCCATGTCACCTGTATGATGGATACAGGAAGGTACTCCTGCACCCCTGCTGCCTGTTTGCTCACTGGGTTCAACTCCTTGCTTTCCAAGATTACTGATGGGGAATAATGACTTCTTGATTTGTTACCCTGAGTTCTTCAAACAAAGGGGCTACATCCATAAAGGCATCAGGCCTTCCCATAAGGCATAGGAAGTGAACCCACCTGATGCTAAATCTTCCAGTGCTTGGCTCTAGCAAGCACATGGGGCAGAAACTAATAACTATAAAGCATCCATCTATCATCTTATCAGGCCTTATGGTGCTTTGTTTGCATAGTTATCTTCCCAAGGGCTGACACTTTATGTCTACCACAGGCTGATACATTCTCCTACCTGCCATATCAGTCAGAGAGGATAGCTGAGCCTCAGGTTCATTACCTGTCATTACACCATGTACATGTTGCTGGGGGCCAAAGCAACAATTCTTCCAGAGTCTGCCCAGTAGTGCAGACCCCTGACTTGGTGGTGCCAGGTCCAACAGACTGTGGGTTATGCTCACAGCTCAGGCCCTGGGTGGGCTCCACGTCATCCCTTCTTGCTGTCCTGGGGTCGGCCCACTCCTCAGGGGTGGTGACACCTTCTGAGCTCCCAGTAGCTTCAGAGGGGATCTATAGGAAGAACAGAGGCCTATGTCACCAACCAGGGTCAGAGACACATGTCCACATTTGAACTGTTCTAGAACTTTCCAGTTATCCTCTTATTGCATTGTATTATTAGGTCCTTTAATTCCTGGTGACTATACAGACTTTAGTTCAGCCAGGGTCTCATTGCCAATGTCCCACCATTGTCACCAACTCTGCCCCCAGGCCTCAGTGCACATATACACAAACACACACATCCTTCATTCCTGTTTTCTTGCCTCTGCATATTTTGTTTTATCGGCCTGAAAGACCCACCTTCAGTCACTCATCCTACCTGCCATTCAGAGCTCTGCTCATACCCACCAACAGAACCTCGCCACCTGAGGAAGAGGAAGGAACTGGTGCTCCCCCTCCACCAATGTGGTGCGCAAAGAACAAAGCCACGTCTACTGGGTATGTTCCTCAATTCATATAGCCAGGACCCTGGGGCAAGGCTTCCAGTGGGCTATGGTTTGGGGGCTCTAGGAAGGCCTCCCACTTGTAGCTCATGATGAACCTCCTTTCACAGCCCTTAAGCTCAGAGTGAGAGAACAGGGTAGAGATGCAAACTCACTGGGTAAGGGACAGACAATGGCTACCCTGAGTTGCCAAATCTCAAAGCCAAGGCTGTGGCTCACACTGTAGGGAATACCCCTGCCCATCATGAGGGTCCATGCATCTCTGAAGGTTGGGTCCACACTGGCCACAACCCTGCATCTCCAACTGACCAGTCGTGGCCTGTAGCTCCTGCATGTAGCTCAGTGCAACCCACAAGTCCACCTCCCATTAACAATGGACCAGACCTCAAAACATCAGGCTGCCAGGAGAACAGAAAATCATTCCCTTGGTGTTAGTGGTGTGTCCCAGTCAGCCCGGTGGGTCCTTGTTCAACTCCTGCTCCTGTTCCTGCTGCCCTGAAGGCTGTAACCCTGAGCTCTACCCCAACCTTGAGCTCCTCTGAGCCTCGTTGGGCCCACTTCTGAGAAGGGGCTGTGGCAGGTGGAGAGTGTCCACCAGGGCACCCAGCACTTGGAGGTAAGGGGAAGCACATGGACAGGGAGGAGAGTGGCAAAGGAAGGCAGGGATGTGAGGTCCTGTGGAGTTGTGGAGTGTGTAAGAATGATGATGACAAGTCTTACAACACCATAATGATTTATACCCTTCAAGATGCTTTCACACCCATTAGACCCATTTGGTCTCAGAGCAGCAATATAAAGAAGTATTTTAAACATAGATGAAGAAACAGCACAGAGGGGTTGAGAATCTCACAAAAGGTTACACAGTAAGTTAGTGGAAGGACCCAAACTGGAATTCCTGGCTCCCAATTATCATTCCTTCCAGCAAGTTCCCTGGTCCTAGGTTAATTTCATGTCACAAGGTCGGGGGGTGGGCAGTGTCAGTGGGAGAGGGAAGGGGCATGGGGCAGAGGCATGTTTGGCCTGCTATGGGAGGGTGGAGAGTAGAGGAGAGCAATCACGCCTTAGGTGTCTTCCCTACAGGAGGGTCTAGAAGGAGAAAGCACAGAGAGGACAGAATGATAAATAGGGAAGACAGGAATGTGGAGGCTCCTAGCTAACAAGAGCAGCTCAGGCAAAGAGGAAATTGCCTGTGATTAAATAGCCAAAGCTTGTGGGGTGGGGGATGGAGTAGCTGTACTGCCCTTGAGCTTCCTGGGGTCTGGACTCCAAGGCAGCATTGGGGGTTTGAAGCCCCTTTGAAACAATAAAGCAATTATTATTACCTTTAAAAAGCAGATATACATATATATGTTCTTTTGTATATGTGATATATTCCTAAGTAATAAAAAAAAATGTTCTACCCATATGAGAAAGATCTTGGCTGCTCCTGGACAAAGGGATTCTCTGCTTGATTCCACAGCTGCTCTGCTTCTATTGACTCAGAAGAGGTCACAACTTGGAAATTCCTACCTAGCCGAAGAAGGCAGGATCAAGCTCCTTCCAGAACAAGCAGCACAGGCCAAAGGCCCAGAAACACGGGACAGATGGCAAATCCATGGAGTCAGGCAGGAAAGTGACCCAAACACCAGTGGCAGCCATGTAGCTCAGTGCAGACTCATATGCTCCCCTCCAGTTAACACCGGCCAGACCTCAAAACACCAGGCTACGGGAAAAACAGAAAATCACTCCCTTGGCATTAGCTCTGTGTCCCTGCAGCTAAGTGGGTCCTCCTTCAACCACAGGGCTCTTAGGCCTACTGTGTGTGTGCTGGATGCGATGGGGGAGGGAGACAAGCTGCAGCCTTTAGAAGCCAGTCACCGGTGCATCCCTCTGGCTGCATGGTCACCTGGTGGCTGTAGCTCCAGAAGAAACCAGCTAAAGCTCATAAATTTTTGCTGAGGATGGAAAGGGTGGGAACAGGATTGCTTCAGAGCCCTCCTGCAAGGTGGGGTTGAAACATATTCACAGCAGATGGTGCTGTCGCCCTCACTCCGGGATTCTCATTCCTAATTATCTGTGCTGTCAGCAAAACAATTAGCCCTCAAAGAAAAATTGCTCTGTCCACTCCCATCCATATGAAAAGGCAATTTTTTCCAAGGACAAGGGACACTTAGGGCAGCATCAGAGGGAAAGTAGGGCAGCCGTGTGTTCGATTCCAAATCTCCCTCACCCCAGGCAATTTCACCACCGTCTGACCTCCACGGTCTGCGTAGGCATGGCCCCAGCCACCCCGCCCGCCTCTGAGCCTGCTTTCCTTCCCCATGAAAAGAGGGGGTGAGTCCAACTCTTAGCGTACCCTTCAGTCCCAGCCATTCTACAATGCTACCATTCTACAAGCTGGATTCTTTTCCTCCAAATTTTAGGTCCCTTTGGAACAGAGACCAAGCTTCCATTTGTTCCTTCATTTGCTCACTTGCTTATTCATCTGTCTTTTCATTCATTCATTTATTGTTATTTATCATGTTTCTCCCAGCCTTCCTGACCACTGCTTGGAGCTTTCTTCCCCTGAAATATGGAGAGAGGAAGGAAGAATGGGGCAGGGGAAAGTGGGGGCTGCCAGGGGCTTGCAGACTTGGCACTGGCTTGGCACAGGCTGTAGAAGGGAAGTCCTGTTGCTGCATTTGGATTCCTCTGAAGATTCTGCTGCAGGAAGGCAGCCTCCTCTCCAGAAAGCTGAATTTGGTGAGCAAGCCACTTTGGTCCCCAGGGCAGGCCTGCAGAGGGGTGGAAAGGTGTCATGTAAGGGAAGCCGAAACCCCATCAGCTACTGTGGGACTGGTGGACAGCACAGGACCTGCACTTCACGGGGCTCATTCAAAACTGAGGCATGAATGAATGAAAAGGGAATGCCCCTCCTGAAAGAATCATTTGAAAAGAGAGGAGAGTTTTTCCAGGGCTGAAGCATGATGTTTATTACCCAGAAGACTATTTAAGCCTGGGATCAGTTGGTCTAATTTATCTATCATCATGCACTGTCATGGAAAAGGAAGCAGGGCGAGCAAGAAATTGTTTGCTGTCAACAATGAAAGAGCCTTCGGGAATGACGTCACCCAGGGCAGGCCGGGTTTGCAGGGGCAATCCGGAGAGGCTGAGGGGCCGGCTCCTCAGACAGGGAGATGGAGGGAGACCCGGCCACAGGTGGCCCCCTATCCAGGCCTCACTCTCGCCCTGCCCCACACTGCCTCCTGGATCGCCCTTCACAGACTGGAGGACTCTCAAGGCAGAAAGGGAGGTCCAGATGGAGGCGACGTCCGCTGCACCCCCAGCCCCGTGGGACTGCAGGCTCCCCAGTCAGGCAGGGGCAGCACTCTGGGCAACTGGGGAAGGAGTCCAGGAAGCAAGGAAGGCCCGGGTGGGGGGTGGGGGAGCTGGCATCCCTCCTCCACCACCCTTTTGCCCAACTCAAGCCTTGTGACATCTTCTTCCCTCTCCCCGTTGCCCATCCACTACCAGCACCAGCCCCTGCCCCGGGTCCAGGAGCATAGGCTCAGATGCCAGCTCCCCGGCATGAAAGGAGTGTGTTTATATTCAAAGTGGGCCATTGCCCACTCAGAAGCTGCCCACTCGCAGGCAGCACATGTGACTGCAGCCCCTGCCCAGAGCCTGGGCGGGACAGACGCCAACCTCTGGCTGGAGACATTTCTAAATATGAGCCTGGCACAAAGAGTCAGGTTCCCAGGCCTCCTCGGCCCTGGGAGACCCAGCCAGGATTGTTGAGGCTGCTGAGAGGGAGAGGGCTGGGGCGGCAGGATCAGGAGGCTGCCAGCTGAGACAGCCATCAGCCCCGCCAAACATAGCCTGAACCTTCCCTGGCCTTCCAGCCTCGTTAGGGGAAGAGAATTACCCTGCACCGGAAGTCCAATCAATTGCCCAAAACCCTTGGCAGCAGGGACAGGAAAGTCACTGCCTGCTCAAATGTGCACGGATTAAAAATATACAAATGGAATATTTTTTCTTCCCCTCTCTTCAGCCCCCTGAAGCTTAGGATGTTTGTTAAAAATAGCCTTGCTGTGGCATGGATCCTACAAAACCCAATGACTGGCAGGAAAATTAAGGCACCATTGGAGACAGAACTAAGTGGTTACCCCTGGGGAGTGGACTGGGAGGACTGAGAAGGGGTGCTTTCAAGTGTTTCCAGACACACTTCTGCAATGCTTGGATTTTTAACAACAAGCAGATATTATTTTTATTAGTTTTTTATTTTAAGTAGAGGTTCATCCACTGCATCCTCCAGCCTATGCTTATGGCTGAACTTGCTCTGACCTAGCATCCTGGTGCTGACCAGCCTGGTGGTGCACTGACTGCTCAGCACCCAGGGCTACAGGTAAAAATGCAGCCCAGCATCATGAAAGGAACCCTCAGACCAGAGTTACAGTCTCAGATCTATAACTAGCTGGCTGTGTGACCTCAGATAAGTCACTTGAGCTCTCTGGGCTTCAGTTTCCTTAATTGTAAAATGATGCAGTTGAGATAAATGCAAAAGTGGGTACTGTCCAGTCTTAGTATTTCATAATTTTAAGGATTAAGGGA